AAGTGGGAGGGCTCCTGAAAGAGCCTGTGGGAATGGAGAACCTGCAGGGCCAGTTCTCAGTCAGATCAGTGTTAGGGAAGAACACATGGAAGTGAGGATCTGAAAAACTGATCTCCTTAAGATTGCCGTGCTCTGTACCCTTAGAAAGTGTGTACCCTATGAAACAAATAATGCAATATATGTTAAGAAAAAAAAAAGAAGAAGAAGAAGGTAGTGGGAGGGGAAGAATGAAGCGGGGGAAATCGGAGGGGTAGACGAACCATGAGAGACGATGGACTCTGAAAAACAAACTGAGGGTTCTAGAGGGGAGGGGGGTGGGAGGATGGGTTAGCCTGGTGATGGGTATTGAGGAGGGCACATTCTGCATGGAGCACTGGGTGTTATGCACAAACAATGAATCATGGAACACTTCATCTAAAACTAATGATGTAATGTATGGGGATTAACATAAGAATAAAAAAGTGTGTACCCTAATTTAAAGACATTTATTGTAGAGGTATAATAGTCAATAATTGTAATACAGTGTGAGAAACATGAACCAGATACTATGCTAGCAGAAAGACAGGAATGGGATTCTTGGTGGAGGTGGAGAGCATGCAAAAGGAAAAGTTAGGGAAAGTTCAATGGGAAGATGAGGATATTTGAGGAGTAGTTGTCTGAAGTGAAAGGGATGTGAGAAAGATGTGGAAGGCCTTTCAGGCCAGGGAATAAAGCATCAGTCACTGAGATAGGAATATAAGAGGTAGAGCTGGTTGGAGATGGTTGGACAATACACAACAGAAAATCTAGAGTTCCATTTTTCTTATGTTAAAGTTATCTCTGGAATATGTTAAGTATCATGTCCAGTAGCTTACTGATCGGTATGGAACTCAGGAGAGAGATCTTAGCCAAAGGAGACACTTAAGACTTTAGTTGTACAGAGGTCAGAGTTGGGACATTGGCATGGATTAGATGATTCAGGAAAAGCATAGCATGGTAACAGAAGGTGGCCAAGAATATCACCGTTGAGGCAGGAAGGACAAATGTCATTTTTTTCTCTTTGCCTGCAGCAGACATGACTAATTGATCACTACCCTATTTCTTAACAAGTCTAATTTCCATTGTGATTGCTTTGGATCTTCAGAAGCCTTTTGCTTGATTCCCAAATGTTCAAAAGACTTTCCAGTTATCTTTTTGTTACTGATTTTTAATTCCGTTTTAATCAGAAAACATACTTTGTATGATTTCAGTCCTTTGAAATTTATTAAGATTTGCTTTGTGGTCCAGCCTAAGATCTAGTTAGTGAATGTTTCATGTGCATTTAAAAAGAATATTCTGGGGCGCCTGGGTGGCTCAGTTGGTTAAGCGACTGCCTTCGGCTCGGGTCATGATCCTGGAGTCCCGGGATCAAGTCCCGCATCAGGCTCCCTGCTCGGCAGGGAGTCTGCTTCTCCCTCTGATCCTCTTCCCTCTTGTGCTCTCTGTCTCTCATTCTCTCTCTCTCAAATAAATAAATAAATAAAATCTTTAAAAATAAATAAATAAATAAAAATAAAAAGAATATTCTGTCCTTGTTGGATATAGTGTTCAGTAAAGGTCATTTATGTTGAGTGGTTAATAGTATTTTCAGATCTTCCTTATCCTATTTTCCAGTTGATCTTAGCCAAAGGCTGAGAAATGATTCTTAACTTTCCTATCCTATTTCTTTTTCTCGCTCTTCCATCAGTTACTGAGATATATATTAAAATATCGAAATATGATGATGGATTTATCTCGTTCTACTTTTTTTAGAACTTTTAAAAAAGATTTTATTTATTTATTTGAGGGAGCGAGAATGAGAGAGAGAGAGCGCATATGAGAGAGAGGAGGGTCAGAGGGAGAAGCAGACTCCCTGCTGAGCAGGGAGCCGGATGCGGGACTGGATCCAGGGACTCCAGGATCATGACCTGAGCCAAAGGCGGTCGCTTAACCAACTGAGCCACCCAGGCGCCCCTCGTTCTACTTTTAGTTCTGTCAATTTTTGTTTCATGTTTATCCCCCAGCTTACTCCTTGCCAGGTCTGACTACCATTGATTTGCTGTGTTCCTCCACAAAGGGTCACAGTTCCTTTTAGGAAGCTTTCTACTTACTCTCTCTGCTTGCACTAGGCTCCTTCAGGCCTAGTGGTGGCAATGGCTTTCTGTTATTGCTAGTCCCGGGACACTGCGCTATCCTTGCTGGTTTTCTTAAACTCTGCCCCACCTTCACAAATGGTTCTTTTATTATACTCTCCTCAGTTACTCAGTTTGAATGTACCGTCTGTTTTTGCTGGGGCCCTGATTGATAAACGGATATGTTTAGGAAAAGCATTTCAGTCAGTCGGAAAATCCAGTGCAAAAACCTGAAATGAATATGTGTCTGACGTGTTCAAGGAAAAGTGAGGAGACCAGGTGGCTGGAGTAGAATAAGTTGGGAGGACACTAGCAGGAGATGAGGTAAGAGAGGAAATGGGGGAGCCAGATCAGAATAGCCTTTGGGGCCATCGCAACAATGAGGATTGAGTGAGAACTTGCATTACTTGACTCCTATTTTATTACTATCACTGTGGCCACTCTGTTGAGAATAAGCTTCAGGGTGCAAGAGTTGAGACCGGAGATCTGTCAGTAGGTGAGAGTTAACACTGTTTAAATGAGAAAATGAGTTTAAGTAGTAATAAACCTCTCAATGGCTTGGGTCAACATTGTGGTGGTAGAGAATGTGGTGAGAAGTGGACAATACTAGATATATCTTAAAAGACAGAGTCTGTGGGATTTTCTGAGGAAGTGAGAGAGAAAAGTTAAGAAGGGCTCCAAGATTTCTGGTCTGAGCCCCTGGAGGGATTAAGTTGCCATTAGCAGAACTGGGGAATACTATGGGTAGAGCACATTTTGGTGGAAAGATCAGAGGTTCAGTTTTGAATATGTTAGGCTTAACATATGTTAGGCATCTCAGTATCTGTTGGTATCCATCTTTGGAGTTCTGTGGTCTGGGCTAGTGGTACAAATTTGAGAGCCAGGAATATGTTAGTTGCACCGGAAGGTGTAAGACTGGATGAGCTCATCAAGAAGAGGTGGTAGGTGGAATAGAAAAGAGGCTAGAAAAAGAGAAGTTGAGGAGAAGAGGAAGAGCAAGCAAGGAAGACTTGGAGTCATGGTGAGGGAGGAAGGAAACAGAGGAGGAGAGGGACCTGGGAGAGGGAGGGAGAGGGAGAAAGAGGTGGAATCGCCTATGGTGTAAGTCTTGAAAGGAGGCAGGGCCCCGACTCTACCCTGGAAAGTCCAGGCAGCTGGGCTGTGTGTAGTAACCTAGGCTTGGCCAGCGAGGTGCCCGGCCCAGGACTTTGAGTCACGATGGAATTATGCAGAGTTTACCACAGTTTACCTGTGCAGGGTCCTTACTAGAAGATGCATCTGAAGACTAGATTAAAGATAAAGAATCATGATTTCTGTAACTTCAAATAATGTTTTCCCAACTTTTCTACAGGTTTGAGAAATATCAAAATGAAATGGGGAAAAAAGTTGTCCTCTGGTCGTGGTGTCCCAGGTGTGGATCTCGTGGTGCCAGGGGTGGTACCTCAGTGAGCCTCTCCCGGGGTGTGACTTTTGTTTGTGTGACTGCTGTGTTTCTCCATTGCCTTCGTGCCATGCTGTGGACTAGTTACCGAGCCGAGGTCTCTTCCAGTAACCCACGCTTCCTGGGAGCTGCCTCACGTACTGCTGTCACAGAAGCTCGGGTGACTTTTTACTAAGCTAGTTTGAGATGGGGTTTCCGCTGGAGCAGTTATATGAAATAACTCGTGGGAACCACAGGTTACTTAGAGTCGAGATTAAATGAAGTAACATAAATAACGTGTCTATAACAATATTTGCCAAATAACCAGGATTCAGTAAGTATTAGCTGATGTCTAGACTACTTCAGAGGAAAAGTCCTTTGACTTACACTCTAAAAATACTTGTTTTCTGTATTAGAAGGTGTACCTGTGTTTTACATGATGTTTTCTCTCAACTTGCCACATAGCTGTAATACATTTCTTTATCTGTAAAATCTTTTTTTTAATGTTTTTTAACAGAGTTACAGATTTCTCACTTGTAAAGCCTCTGTCTCACATGGTTATTCTGGGAATGTATAAAGTACTTAGAAGATCGTAATCATTCAACAAATGTTGGCTGCTTTTGTTATTATTATGATGATATAAAGCCTTAGTCTCCGGGATACCTAAGTAGCTCACAACTGGCAATGCTGAAAGTTGTGTTTTACACAGCTATTTTTCCTAAGTGTCGTTGAGCCCTTTATAAATGAAGTCCCAGGTGCAGATGGGATCAGTATGTCTATTTTGCTGTGGGAGAGAGCAAAGCAGAGAGTGTTTGGGTTAGTCCTGCACTTTAGAAGATCAGCCAGAAATTAATGTTACTTAAAATTAGAATCATGTAGAAGTGGGAACTTTTGCCTGTTTTGCTTGTTTCATGTAGGAATTTTGGCATATAGGCTGGGGCTTTCCTAGAAATACTGCATTTTTGGATTATGTTGCTAGAGAACTTGAAGTTGTATGTAGTAAAAATAAGAACCTATAAGGATGTAAAAAGGTTGTAACTTGTGGTAAAGATGCCACCTTATGGATGCTTTGGATGATCTTAAACAAAATGCATCCTTCTGTATTGTTGTTGACTTTATTAGTATTGCTATTAATGAGAAAATTGTCATTAATGAGAAAATAATTTGATAAAATTCTATTGTACTTCACTTTTTTTTTTTTTTGCTAATGTAGCATTTAAAATATGAATTTCACCAATGCTTCCCTTTTCCATTATATAACTTACACTTTGGTTACAAGTTTTAGAGCATAGTGGTTGACACAGACAGGTGTGTCTGTGCGGCCAAACACAGGCAGATGTGGGTGCATTTCTATAAAGTCCTTCTCTGTAGGGCAGGACAGTCATCGTTGGGAAAGGCATAGTGCATGGTTTTGCCTCTTGTAATGGTGTATTTCCTTATTCTCTTTTTAGGCGATACAGTTAATATTGGAGATGTATCCTACAAGTTGAAAACTCCTAAGAGCCCAGAACTTGTGCCACAGAACTACAGTAAGAAATAGTCGTTTATTTATGAATGAATAACTTTTAACTTTTCATTATGGGGATTTCAAACATATGCAAGACCAGAAAAAAATAGTATAAACATGAGGTACTTACCAGTCAACTTGAACATTTATCAATGTATGTCAATCTTCTTTTAACTGATACCCATTTTTTCTTCTGGAGTATTTAAAACCTATCCCGGACATCCTATCACTTCACCCTTGAATATTTCAGTAAAACATTTATTTTTTCATGTACTATTCTTTCTTTTTTAAATTGGGATAAAATATACATATAATAAAATGCACGGATCTTAAGTATTCATTTGGATTAGTTTTGACAATTTTATAAACTTGTATAACCACCAAGATTACTTTCATCACCTCTGAATATTCTTCTGTGCCCCTTCCCCTCTGCTCTAGCCTGGAAACCAGTGTTCTTTTTTTTTCTATCATGATGGATTAGGTTTGCCTGTTCTTTAGCTTTCTATAAATAGGATCATATAGTATAGTTTTTCTTGGTGTGTATTTGGCTTCTTTCTATCAAGATAATGATTTTGAAATTCATCCATGTTCCCATACTTATCAGTTTGTTTTTAATTGCTGAGTAGTATTACATTGTATAAATATACCACAATTTGTTTACCTGTTCTGTTGATAGACATTTGGAGGGTTTCCATTTTTAGACTGTTATGAATAAGGTGCTATGAATATTCCTGTACAAGTCTTGTAGTCATAACTTTTCACTTCTCTTGAATAAATAACTAGGAGTTGAACTGATGTGTCATAGGATGGATGGCTGTTTAACTTTATAAGACACTGTCAAACAATTCTCCAAGGTAGTTGTGCTATTTTACCCTTTGACCAACAGTGATGTTCTGTATTCTTGCCAACATTGGAATTTCTAGTCTTTTCGATTTTACTCATTCTACTATGTGTGAAATAGTAACTTGTCATGGTTTTTGTTTTATAGCAGCTTTATTGAGATATAATTAGTATACCATAAAATTTATCTTCTTAAAAAAATTTACCTTTTTAAAGTGTACAACTCAGTGGTTTTTAATATATTTATGGAGTTGTGCAACCATGCCCCATCTAACTTTAGAACATTTTCATCATACCAAAAAGAAACCTCGTACCCATTAACAGTCACTCCTTGTTTCGTCCTCCGACAACTGTATACACCCCACCCCACCCCCAGCCTTTGGCAATCACTAATATGTTTTCTGCTTCTGTAGATTTGCCTACTCTCAATATCAAAATCAATGTTTTCTATTAATTTGGGGGAGTTCTTTTGTAAACATCATTTCTTCCCTCCTCTCTGTCTTTCTGGGACTCCCACTATGTGTGTGTTAATATACTAGATGGTGTACCATAGGTTTCTGAGGGCCTGTTAATTTTTCTTCATTCTTTTTTCTTTCTGTTTCTTAGACTGGATAATCTAATCTAATAAATTCAAGTTTGCTGATTATTCTGCCCACTCACGTCTGTTGTTGAGGCCCTTTAGTGATTTTTTTCATTTCACTCATTGTAGTTTTTAACTTTAGAATTTCTATTTGAATCTTTTTTATAATTTCTTTCTTTATTGATATTTTCTAGTGAGATATTGTTGTCATACTTTAAGTTTTTAGACATGGTTTGTTTGGGTTCTTGAACATATTTATAAAAGCTAATTTAAGGTATTTTCTACTAAGTTCAGTGTCTGGCTTCCTCAGAGATAGTTTTATTGACTGTTTTTTTCTTCTGTGTATGCTGTACTTCCCTGTTTCTTTGTGTTACTTACCTTTTTTTTTTTTTTTTTTGTAAAGTAGACTTATTAAATAGTATAATGTGACTACTCTGGACATCAGCTTCCCCTCCTTGCCTAGGATTTAGTTTGGCTCCAGTTGTTTGTTTAATGACGTATGTAGACTGTTTTTCTGAAATCTGTGCTCTTTGTCATGTGCAGCCACTGAAGTTTCTGCTCAGTTAGCTTACTGGCCTGCCAGTAATGGGACAGAGATTTCTTAAATGCCTCAAACAAATCTGTTCTAGTTTTTGACCAGGGCCTGTGTGTGCATGTTGGACATGATTTCCAGTGAAGCTCCAGAGGCAGCTTTTAAGTATGTCTTACTGCTTGTGCAAAGCTTCAGTGTCAGCCAGAGGTGAGCCATTAGGCCCTTCTCGGAACTTTCCCAGACATGTGCATGGCCTTCTAGATTCCTAGACATACACTGTAGTTTTTCAAGCCTTCCTTTGGACATCTTATTCCCAGTTTTTCCTTTTAAGTTGTTTGTTTGTTTGTGTTTTGGTCATCCTTTCGTTAGCTCCAACTTGTTTTGGTGCCTCACACAGCTGTGATGTTAAACAGTTGTTGATTTTTTTTTATTTTTTAATTTTTTGACACACACCCTGGGGTAGTGTTGTTTGCACACTGGGAGCTCTGAGTGGGTCAAATGAAGTCAAATTCTAAAAAAGGAGTTTTTCAGGGAGCTGTTAGAGAAGTCAAGTAGGGGTAGTTTTCTAGGGCTGGGACGGTTAGGAAGCTGTAACCCTGTTCCGTCCCCTTCAGTGGTTGTAGGAGGTTGGTATTCAAGATTACCACAGAGCTGGGGAAAGAGATGGGAACAGGGCAAGTTAAAAGACCACAAAACTTATAGTTCATACTAAGGTTCACCCATTTTTCTTGGAAAAATGCTTGTCAGATTGTTGAAAGTCTCTTATTAATTTCTAGAGTTCTGAAAAACTTAATTTTGATAATTTTTGCCAGGGTTGCCATTGCTTTTATGGATGAGTGGATTTTCAGAGGTCCTTGCCCGGCTATTCCAGTAGTGCAAGTCCTCTCATTGTGGTTTTAATTTTTATGTCCCTGATGAGTAATGATGTTCAAGATATTTTCCTATGCTTATTGGATATTTGTATATCTTTTGTGTTGTATCTATTAAAATATTTTCCTTATTTAAAAAAGCGGATTTTGCCTTTTTATTGTTGATTTGTAAAAGTTCTTCATATACTCTAGACACAAGGCCTTTGTCATATATATGTATTATGAATATTTTTTTCAGTCTCTCCCCTGCCTAACCATTTTCTCAGTGGTATCTTTTAGTTGGCAGAAGTTTTGATTATATACAGTTTATCTTTTATTATGGTTAGTGCTTTATTATGTCTTAGAAATCTTTGCCTACCTCAAGGTTGTGAAGATAGTCTATTTTTTTCTAAGAACTTTATAGTTCTGTTTTATTTTAAAGGGATAGGTCCATTTCATCTCAGTTTTAAAATTTATTGACTTTTTTTTATAACGTAGCCTTTATTATGCTTTAAATATCTGTAGAGTCTATATTGCTATTCCCTCTTTTATTCCTAATATTGGAAATGTGGGTTTTTTTCTTTCTCTAGGGGTTTATCAATGATATTAACTTTAAAAAAATAGTTTTTAATTGTTGATTTTTCTCTATTGTTGTCCATTTGTTATTTCACTGATTTCCACTCTTTACTACTTCCTTACTTTTATTTACTTTGGTTCCTATTCTTTGTCTGTTTAAGGTAGAGGTTCAGATTATTGTTTTTGCCCCCTTTTTCCTGATTTAGTTGTCCAAAGCTGTAAATTTCCATCTAAATTGTGCTTTAGCCCTGCCTCACAGATATTAATATGTTAAGTTTTCATTATTAGTCCATTCAAGATATTTTTAAAAATCACAGATTTGTTTTTGCTCAGGGGTTATTTAGAGGTATGTTTGCTTCATTTCCAGTATTTGGTTTTTCTTTATTTTACAGTTATTGATTTCTAACTTAATACTATTATGGTCAGAGAACATATTCTGTAGAGTTTCAGTTCTTTGAAATTAAAATTATTGAGACTTAACAATCAGCATAAGGGCTCTCTTGGTGAGTGTTTCATGTAAACTTTGAAAAGAATTAGTGTTCTGCTGCTATTGGGTGTTGTAGTCTATAAATATTAGTTAGGTCAGTGTTGACAATATTGTTCAAGTCCTTTATGTTTTTGTTGATTTTATCTACCTCTTCAATCAGCTGCTGATAAAGTGGTATTAAAACCTCTATTATGACTGTAAATTGTAGATTTTTTTGCCCTTTATGCTATTAATTTTTATTTTGTGTATCTCAAACCTCTCTAATAGGTATATACACATTTATAATGTTATGTCCTCTTTATGAACAGTCCCTTTTATTATTACGCAATGCTTCCGTTGTCTGGTAACAGTTTTTTTTCTTCAAGTTTATTTTGTCTGATAGTAATGTAAACCATACCATCTTTCTTGTGCTAAGTGTTTGTATGGTATGCTCTTTTTCATTCTTTTACTTTCATCTAGTCTGTGCCTTTATATTTTAATTGTGTCTTATGAACAGCTTATTTATCCATTCTGACAAGCTCTTTCTTTGATTTGGAATGTTCAACCCTTTTATGTTTAATATAATTATTGATGTAGATGTGTTTATGTCGACCATCTTGATTTTTTTTTGCTCTTTGTCCTCTTTATATTTTTATATACATCTTTTATCATCTTCTTTTCAGAGATAATATATTCCATTTTGTCTCTTCCATTGGCTTTCTAGTTACGCCTCTTTTTCTAGTGTAGTTTGGTTCAATAGAACTTTCTGAAGTGATGGATATGTCCTATATTTGTGCTGTCCAATATAGCAGGCACTAGCCACATGTGGTGATTAACCATTCAAAGTGTGACCAGTGCAGTCAATAAGGAAAATAATTTTAGATTTTATTTAATTTTAAGTTAATTTAAACTCAAATTTAAATAGCAACATGTGACTGGTGGGTACTCTATTGAACAGTGATGCTCTAGGGATTATAATATACATCTTCAACTCATCATAGTCTACTTTCAAATAATAGATCTATTTTAGGAACAATGTGATAACTTTTCAACACTATTCTTTCATTTACCTCTCAGAACCTTGCTAGTCTTGCTATCATATATTTTAATTCTGTATATACTAAAATGCCACAATTTTGTTATTTTTTTACTTTAGGCAATTAATGGAATTTTAAATTAA